TTATGAGATTGATCATTTTAATCATTAATGTACTAATTAAATAGTTGAATTCATAAGTTAATTGAAGCTAAACCACCATGGAAAACCTGGACACACTGGACGGCCGTTTCGTCCTAGTATGGGACTCCTCAGCAGTTCACATCCACGATCCCGCCCTCCGCGAGATTCCAACCCAGGACTTATCGGCCTCGTGAGCGAACGCCTAACCTGTAGACCACTGAGTCAGCATCCAACGATGTCAATGTCTAACTTCAACGAATCCACGAAATTGAGCGACACATCCACTATTGTCAGTGGATGCGCACTGCTGAGGAATCTCGTACTAATACTAAACAAATCGTCCAGTGCTTCCAGGTTTTCCATGGTGGTCTAGCTTTAACTGACTCATGAATTCAACTACTAACTTACTATAATATCCACAAAACCCCTATCCGATTAATGTACCAATTAAAATATGTATTTTACAATTGTTTGTATAATTTATAATATCCCATATTCATATTTGTTTAACTTTGACTACAAACTAAAGCTCAAAGAATCTAATAAAATATGAGACAATATTAATTTAATACAATGTAAACATTTTGGCATGTTTGACCTATAAATGAACTTTTGTCAAAATTTATACAAATATTTAAATAAGAATAATACATTAACATCAGTCGTTCATGATCTCAATCAGAAACTTAACAATCTCCACAACCCTAAACTGAAAATAAATGAGTATCGATTAGACATAAACTATGGAAGTCAAAATTTCTGAAAGTGAAATTTAAAGGATGAAAACTTGATGTTCAGCCAAGGAATCTATTATGAATAAAATAATGAGAATATAATACATAAGTAAAGGGAGAAATGCAGAAATAATAATAAATAAAGGCCAAATTAACGATAACAATATGATTAAACTTTTTTTTATGCATAGTTCTCGCGTGAGCTCATAGATGGTAGGAGCTCCGGCTTTTTCGGGAGCTGGATACGAAGAAATTAGGTAGATTTGAACGAATCATATAAACAACCTTGAAATCAAACTGTAAATCAGTAGAATAATTACAGTCGATTAGATGTTGAAGTATTATTATTGCTGCATTTCTCACTTTGCTGATATCTCATATTCTGATTACTTTATTCATAATTGCTCATCACATCACCCCATACATTTCGCACCTCTATTACCTTTAATTGGCTAAAACTATTGTGACAAAACCATCTTAATAGTTGAATTCATGAGGACAGCAGTTTTGTCCTAGCATGGGACTCCTCCGCAGTGCGCATCCACGATCCCACCCCATTAGATCCGAACCCACAACCTATCAGTCTCGCACCAGATGCTCAACCAACTAGACCACTGAGCCGACATCCAACGGTGTTAATGTATAGCTTCAACCAATCCACGAAGTTGCGCCACCGTACATCATTGTCTTCAGTGAGTTGATATCTCACAACAGACTTGGTTGAACTCCACTGGTAACGGCTTCTCACTAGAACTTCAGTAAATGCCTCTTAAAGTCAGTCACTAGTGAGCTATATATATATATACGATTGTACAGCTTGATAATAAATTCGTTAAAAGCAGATCCCTTGGCCGAACTTCATGTTTTTAATGTTTAAATATGAATTATCTGTTAAATTTAAAAATGTCAACATTTTTTTCTATAATCAGTCCTAAGTAATTTAAAGCTAATAATTCTATCTTCATCATTATTCATTTAGTCTTGAATATTTAAGTCATTCATATCAGTTCGAATGTGAATCACTTCACTCGTGACATGTTGCGCATAAATATATATTGTTCATATTATATAGTAGACCCTATCTTGTGACTAGGGTTACATTAATTGATTCATTTTATATTAATCATCTTATATTCAGACTATAAATAATAAACTTATCATATGAAAATGATTAGACTATTGTACAGTGTACAATTGTTTTCGACTATATTTACTTAAAATCTTATGTATTCGTGTGTCGAGATTGCTTCATTATGATTTATACTTTATATTTTTTGACAAAAATGAATTAATATACATTTTTCATGTATGTTGAATATTATTTTATAGATTAGCTTGATTTTTAGTCTCAGACGACTACTGTTTATCTCTTATAAGTACCATAATGTTATTTAACTGAAATTTTAGATTACCATCACCTCATAAACATTTTTTTTAGTGATTAGGATATTTTAGTGTTGAACGAACAGGATAATAACAAAAATAACAATATATTTTGCTAAATACCAGTGTATAGATTGGACTTAATCCAAGAATAGCTTATGTTATATATTAATCAAAACTAGTTTATATGAATTGCGACTGACAGTAGAATGTAAGTTGAACGTTTCATTCATTTTGAATATCATTAGGTAAATTTTCAGATTAAGATTGCTTCAAACGCTAACCTATTATCCATCAAGCTATTGACTTTAAACAGACTTGGGATTGTAAAAGTGGTTTGATGTTATATGTAATAACGTACGTTTTTTGTATATCAAGGACTGCTTTCTGGACTCGATGATTTGATGGAAAGCCCAATGATATTTAAAGGATTAAGGATCGAATTCGAGCTTCCGTGTAGATATCAAGGGTTTAGCCTAATATATCATTTGGCGAGTCACAAGTAAGATTTTATTAAAGACAATATGGAGACAGTTCACTCAAGATACATACATGATGATTGAAACTGGTCAATTGCAGTCCTTAAAATGTCAATAATCAGAAAAACAAACCCATATGAATACCTTCTATGAACATTAGTAAAACTTTCTTTGATGTTATTTATTTTATAATTTGACATCCACTTAGGTTTCTTCGAGTTATCTCTCTGAAAAGATTTACTGACTTGAGAAATAACTCTTCGTTGTTATCTAATTAAAACGAAGGGTTTAGATAAAGGATAACTGTGTTATCATACTTGACATACACTTCTTGTGTTCGATTCATTTCGCGATGATACGTATACACTGTTAAAGAGTTTGAGAGTAAAACATGATGTCTGTTCATTACATTTTTTTTATATCTGACAATTATTTAGCTGATATCATTTCATAACACAAACTTTCTTCAACCTAAACCACTGAATTGAATAATTCATAAAAATAAATTATAATGTCATCCAATTTTGTATACTATAGGTGCATTCACCCGACTAACCTTTGGTTGATGAGATCAACAAAACTATTCACATTTATAAAATTCATTGATAAACAGCAAAAACATAAATGTTTTGTTTTATAGGAAATTTCTGTACTACTCAAAAGTGGTTAGTAAACATATCAACTAGCAGTGACCTTAGTAACTCAGTTTATTTCAAGACATAGTTATAAAACAAAACATTTTCATTTTTATCAATAAACTCATGTCTGTATCATTCTGTTTCATAATGTTTATATTTTATTGTAGTCTAAAATAGTGATAATGTAATCACCAAAGAACTTTTACAATTAAATCATTTTATTTTAATAGTCCTTTCGGTAGACTTATCAGTGTTCTGTTGTAATATGTTATTTTGGATCATAAAACTACTGAACTGTAATTACGTTGATGGCCGAAGACTTGAGTGAGGACAACTGGTCTATATACAATGTAGAGAAGAATTTTACGAATGAATGTTAATTCACAAAAAGTATTTAGGGGTCCACAAAATAATACGCTTTCATAAAACCGATAGGTCCTGGGTTCGAATTTCGCGAGGCAGGATCGTGGTTGCGCACTCCTGAGGAGTCTCACAATAGGACGAAATGGCCGTCCAGTGCTTCAGGGTTTTCCATGGTGGTCTAGCTTCAATTGACTCATGATCTCAAATATTAAAAATTTATGTGTAAAAAGACGATAAACTACCAAGAAATACAAAGAAAACTAGTAGGAACCAATCGAAACAATGTTCTTCAGTTACAAAAGTAATTTTTTATTGAGATCATGAACCGATTGACGTTAGACCATCACTGGAAACCTAGAAGCACTGGACGGCCTTCTCGTCTTATTGCGGGACTCCTCAGCGGTGCGCACCCACGATCCCGCTCTCGGGATTCGAGCCCGAGGCCTTCAGTCTCGCGTGCAAACTCCTAACTTATTGGACTACTGAGCCGGCATCCAATGGTGTTAATGTCTAACCTCAACCAATCCACGAAGTTGCGCGACCATTAACTATTTATTACTTCAAATTAAAACTGTTCATGATGAAAATAACCTTCAAAGAAAATTTCGATAATGTAGTAAGAAGACGAAGATTATCAGAACGATGTGATATATAAGCGCAATACATTTCGAACAGTCTGATCACACATACACTCGTTAAGAGCATTTATGTATAAAAATAAAAGGTCAACTAGACTGGAAATGGGGCAAGAGGAGACAAGGATAATAATAATATTAATAATGTCGACATAATTTGAAACCTAATCACTGAATAATAAGCCAATATTACCAGGGTATTTTTAAGGTGAGAACAAGCTGTTTTAGTATACGCCCTTTTACTCTTTCATATAACACCACAAAAGCCGAGTTAAAATCAATGTTATGGACTATTTCGACTACATGTTTAGCAATGGAGGATGATGGATGTTTATCCTCTACTCTTATTGGGTCATTTAATCCTATTTGTTTCTGCAACTATTTTCGTACGTGTTCACACACCCTAATTTTGAGATCACGATTGCTCCTCTCTATGTATATGTGACCACACACACACATTTAAATTGGTAAACACAATGGGATGAAGCGTGCACCTTGTTCTTTCATCGATAATGACCTTTACTGCACAATACGTCTTGTTGATGATTGATTTAAGCCATTGTTTCAATAAAAGGCTAATTGAATAATCTCTGAATGGTAAAGTAATATAGATAGGCTTTTTTCTACCAAGGCTACAGTAGGTCTCATTGTACCATGGAATAAATCATAAAGTAAAACAATCTACTTTTAGTTATATGAAAGAGAAAATTCTTAACATAAACAATAATAAATAAATAATAACTTTGGTACCAATATTCTGTAACTTACAGAAAATGTCTAGTTCCTAATTATTAAACATCTATACATAAAATATATATTCTTTAAAGCTAGACTTTATTCTAATAATGTGTATATATAGTGTATATATAGTCAACTTAATGATTGGATAAAAATGTCAACTTATATATGGAATAAATATAAACACTATTTAATGATACTTTAAATGTCAATTTGTTTTATTATCTTGTTTATTATAATACAAATATCAATATATATCAGGTATAATTTGTTATAATATTCATAGTCATGAAATAAGTTATATATTAACTATTTAAATATCAACTAAATTATTTATGATAAATTGGTAAATTCAATGTTGTTTCAGGTATTCTTTGAAGTTATTATTTGTTTATATAATGTTAAATCAAAACTCATAGGTTAATTGAATCACTTTTTTTAGTGCTTACTTACTTATTTATGCCAGTTACTCCTTGTGAAGGAGTATAGGCCGCTCAACAGCTCTTTCTAGTTGTTATTCATCCTTTTCATATTTGATTCTATTCCACGACGTAATGTGTTCTTTGGCCTTCCTATTTTCCGTTTCCCTTCATTGATTCCAAATTAGGGCTTGCCTCGTGATGAAGTTTGATGATTTGTGTAATGTATGTCTTATCCATCTCCATCGTCTTTTCCTAACTTCCTCTTCAGCTGGAAACTGGTTTGTTCGCTCCCACAGTTGGCTGTTACAGATGGTTTCCGGCCAATGGATGTTGAGTATTTTGAGTAGATAACTTGTTGATGATGGTTGTAGTAGTTCTGCAAGTTTCATCTCCGTACAGTAGAACTAACTGTCTCGACGTTGGTATTGAAGATTGTGACTTTGATATTGGTTGACAGTTGATTTTTAGTTCCATATGTTCTTCAATCATAGGAATGCAGCCCTTGCTTTGCCGATCCACTTTTTTAGTAGAATATTAAAATAAAGTAATTATTTTGATCATTATTTTAGTCTCATAGCTCTTCAACAATATATTTTATATATTCATTTCATTTGAAATTAGTCTAAATATTGTTCTTGATTCATTTTTATAAGAAATTGAATCGCTTTGAATGTAATATAGCGATTTCTCGTTAACTGTTATCTCTATAATCCTGACATATCAACAAAGGTTTCTCTAATTATAGTACCTAGACTATTAACAGACCAACAAGAATGTGAACATTATTTCTGAAACTGAAAATATTTTTATCAAATAAACTAGTAAGATTATAATTTATAGATGAACCAATCAGGTTTAAGATAGTGAGTCGTGGATTTTGGTGCGAAATTCATTCATTCATATGGCTAAATAGAATTTTGGAATTATAGCTAATATCAGTTCATTATAGAAACCCTAACTCTAATTCTTACCTTTTGCTATTAACTCTAAACCCTGATTCTGATTTTCCACACTCTTTGAACACTAGTTGATAGGTGAATCTTTTCAAGGTTACACTGACGTCGCTCAAATGTCGTCTATTAATCATAGTTGCATCAACAAAACTTCAAACTGAGTGGCAATTCAAAAGAAACAATACAGACCTAGTTACATATCAAAAATAATAAACATTTTTATACACTGCTCCAGTTAAGTTGAGAGAAAAATTCCTTCATTTTCAACAACAATAGATCAGTTTATCACTTATTTTTCAGGAACTTTTGGCCATAAGCTTTTAAAATCCAATAATATGAAAGTTCGCCATCTTTAAAGAACAGAACAGCAGAGTAAATTCGAGAATAAATTTTAAAAAATCTATTACGAAGATACCATGTCGAATATTCATAAAAATCTACTAAAACCAAAAATAATTGCAAAGGTTTTAGTGCTCTTACTATACAAAATCCATGATAAATTCATCAAGAATAAATGCAGTAACAAACAGACTAACTATGAAATTAAGGCAAATAACACCAATAATCTAACTGAAGAGAAAATTTCATAAAAAATCCTTATGAGGTAATATGTAAAAATAAATTGGCAATAATCCAACAATTTAACTTCAGTAGTATAGAGGAAACAACGCGAAGCCTTATTGAGTAGAACGTTTTTCTCGGAGATTTCGAAATTCATTTATTCACGAATCCCCAAGCGGTATCTCCTTTAAATTCGATATTTCCGGAAGAGTTTTCATTCGAACTATTGGTGACCTTTAAAAGTTTAGTTCTGACTTCAAGTTTCTACAGATGAATGTAATCAGCACTTGTCAGAGCTCAAGTGGTTCGTCGTTTTTTATGTGTCATTGGAGAATATTGGTCTGCTCCTTGACGATGAAGAATAAATTATTTTTTTCTCTTTCGACTCCATGAATCAAACCTTTGATATCTCCAACAAACTACATAAAAACTTGTCATGATTTGTTATCCTTATTATCATCATCATGACCTCTATATAGTAAGCATGCTATCTACGTTCTACGGACTACAATAGATTAAGTGTTTTCAAAAATAAGGCCTAAAATAAGTATTTTTTAAAACTATGTTTTACAACGATCAAGTATCGATATATTATTTAGATTATTCGTATATCTCGATGGCTCCTGGATTTAACTCAACATTGCTTGTTTATCGAAACTTACAACCTGAATATTTTAGATAATCAAGACAAAATGACAAAATCAATTTATATTCTACCTCTCAAAATAGTTACCTTTAATTTTACGTTTAACAACGGAACTACTTAATAAATTTAATTAGTCAAAATCTATATCTAAAATAAATCTCATTGCATAAATCCCATTTAAACGTCATCAAGTTTTTTAAAGAAAATATTGTATTCACAGAAAGTTTGCCAGAATTTATCTGTATTCAAAGAAATAGTTAAATATGTAGAATCGGTTGAGCCAATTGTTTTAGAAGACTTGGAGATATTAGTGAATTACCAACCTGATATATTTCCAAATATTTAGAAATTAGCATTGTACCGGATAAATCATATAATTAATTCCTGAAACGGTATATGTTACTGAAAACAGTTCTGTTCTACCTTATGGAACAATTTAAAGTAGACATTTGCATAACGCAATATTTGTTCAACTTTTCTTATTTTTCAACAAGTGTAACAAGTATAGAGAAAGTGAATTGAAAATTCAGATGAGACTGTAATTTATGGACGACCTTTGAGTAGCGCTAGACTGATCTTGAGAGTGTTCACCTAGTAACTAGGACCAAATAAGGGTTATAAATTTTGATTTACAGTTGATGATTAAGGTTAGGAGACCTATTAACTTATACCTGATTTGTTCGTCCATAAATTATAGTCTTGGCAAAATTCATTTTATTTTCTCATCTAACGTTATTTATGTACTTATTCTGTACATAAATTAATTCTATTTATTTTCATTAAATGGTCCATCGTAAATTAGGTTTTCACTCATTTATTTAATTTAATATTTCATGTATATATGCTGAGATATACTTAAAATACATAGTTAAATATTAAGACTGTGAGATAACAAGGAGACTTTATATTCTTCATTCTGTTCTTATTACGGACTAACCGTAAATGTATGATTTATTTCTACTTTCTTAACTCACCTGACTGTATGCTTTTCTCTTTATTAATAATTTAATCTTAACTTATTATGTACTGTATTATTTTTAATGAATTTACCTTATATCATCACCTTATAGTAAGTAATATGAATAAATAAACTGTGTTTTTGACTGAAGCTAGATAATGTAGAATGCTTGATAAACTAATTTCAAGATAACATCAAAAACTAAGATAGGACTCAGTAGCTAAGTGGATAACGCGATGGCGTTTGAAGCGAATGGTACTGGGTTCGAGTCCCAGAGTGAACATCAACTGTGAGATGCAGTTACATCCAGCGGACGAGTCCCAAATAGGACGAAACGCGCGTCCTGGATTCCACTGCTAGCCACTATCTATCATTGCTTACAAAAAGCTTGTGAATTAAGGTAATATAGAGGCATACACACAGTATGTACATATGCCAATAACAGACTGATCAATTGCAGTCTTAAACCTCAATGGAAAGATACAAGCCAAACAATACCAAGTGAATACTAAGATAGAATTTTTCATAAAAATCAACATACAATCAATATTTAGACTTGCTTCACAGCTTAAATTTTAAAGCTTGAATCTTCTTCAAACAAATAGCTAATTTTTACACTTCTACAACAAATATCCACAGACCTAAATGATTTGTTAGTACTTGAACATACTCGTATGGTGTGTGCTACTTATATTGACATAATTAGCATATGATGTTGGTTTCGAACAGAAGGTCTGACAGCAGCGAGACAAGTGGATCGAACAGTAAAGAATGGAAATAAGATGTAATTTTTATGAAAATGCAAGGACAATGAAGTCTGAGTCATTTTGAGACAGTTGGTGGACATTTTGCAAATTAAGCCTTTACTTTATGATTGTTAGATTTTATTAACAAGTCCTCTAATTTATGTTAAATACATTCGATTGTCCCCACTAGTGTATATGAATAATGGTAATCTTAAAGCAAATTATTATTAAACGAGTAAATTCATTCATTTACTTAAGAATTTTATTCAGATTTCATAGGCAAGCAATTGTCATTTAATCAAGTGATTGTAGTCACCAGCTCTAGTAAATTTTGAGTATAATATTCAACATAATGATTACGGTATGATAGATTTGGAAAGAAATATCATTGTATATTCTTATACTGTTTTTTGTAATCATCAATATTTATATGATAATTAGGAGTATTTGAATTATAGTACGAACTAAGAATCCCAGAAATAACGTAATCGGATCAAGAAGTACTCGATAAGCCCGAACGAATGTACTGTGTTTGGAATTCGAAATCAAGCATTCAACAAGAACAAAGGAATCATTAGTTCATTCAAACACCAAAATTTACTATTCTTATTAAACAATCCATCTGTTATCCATTATGTTAATCTGTATTTTTTTCTAAATTTCTTCATATACTGATTTATTTCTTTGTCAAGACATTCACCTTCCGAAATTTCTATTTGTTCCTTGAATTGTCTTCATTTAACATTTTAATTATCTCTTCATTTAATCTCAATATTTATACTAAAAAATATAGTCAAAATTATTTTTTCATCTATTTTCAAACTTCTTTTATATTCTTATTATTAATGA